CCCATGGTAAAGTTCGCATGCGGCTCCGTCCCCAATCTGGCATTCCTTTTGCACGTTTCCTGGCCGCACAGGGAACTCCACCGAAGGCCCCAGTGGCAAAGTTCGCATGCGGTTCCACCCCTATCCTAGCACACCCTTCATACGGTTCGTGGCTCAATTGGGAGCTTCACCGAAGGCCCAAGTGACAATGTTCGCATGCGGTTCCATCCCCATGTTGGCACGGCCTTCGCACGGATCGTGGCACCATAGGGAGCTCCACCGAACGCCCCGGTGGCAAAGTTCGTTTGCGGTTCCACCTTTCTTGTAGTGGCCCTCGGCCAGTGCCGCCGATCCGGGACGCTTCCGTTGCTGCCAGAAGCGCGCGATGGCGGTCGTGAGTGGCGACGACGGCGAGCGGTGAGGATGACGATGAGGATTGGGAATGGAGGCGACGGAGTAGGAGGAGGAGGAGGAGGAGGAGGAGGAGGAGGAGGAGAAGGAGGAGGATCATGATGAAAATGGAGGGGGGTGGGGGGGAAGGGCAGGGGTAGCAGGATGCTGGGGATGAGGAGGAGCAGGAGGAAACGGTAATTGGAAGAGGGGGAGGGGAAGAAGGAGGAACATGACGAGGATGAGGATATTTTCGGTGGTTGTTGGAGATGCTCGGCGGTTGTTGGGAAGCCTTTTTCGGGGCCAGGTGTTGGCCCCATTTGGGTTGATACCATCGCCGATCTGGCGCGCTGTCTGGAAATCTGTGTGTTAGAGCTGTCTGCGTTGCAGTTCTTTGTGGGGCCGTTTGCATCGCCAACTTCTGCTGGGAACCATTGTGTTTTTCGGGGTCCGTGGGACCTTCGCGCGGTCCTCTGCGGGCCCTTGTGAGATCATGGATGGGGTGGACATCGAAGATGGGGGGTCATGTGAAAACGTGGAACAGCCTTTTGTATTGCAGCGTTTGTGTTCAGTCGTAAGCGTTGCGGAAACATTGGGTCCGGTTTTGCGCTTTTCGGGGGGAGTTTTGGAGGCAGTTTGGAGGCCTTTAGAAGGCGCCTTGGATGAATTGTTAGAAATTCTCGGGGGCCTTCAGGGGGTTTCAGGGGGCCTCGTCGGGGCCAGTTGGAAGCCTCGTGGGGCCTCTCCAGGCCTCTTGGAGGCCTCTGGGGGCCTGCTGGGGGTTTCTTAGGCCGTCTTCGGCATTTTTTTCCGCCGATTTGGCGCCCTCTCAAGCGCCTCTTGGGCCCGTCCTGGGGCCTCTTGGGCCTTTCACTGGGCCTCCTGGGCCATTTTGGGCCCTTCTTGGGCCGCCCCGGAGTGAGCTGGAACTCCGTTTCCGCCCCGGGAATTAAATCGACCCCCCCCCTTCCCCCTACACCGGCAGAGCCACCCTGGCGCGCACCCCCCCAGTGGAGCTGAAACTCAGGAATTGAGGCTCAGGCTGTTCTGAGGGTCTTTGAAACTCACACGCCGGATCGGCGGAGTTTGACACCCTTCACACGGTTCGTGGCCCCATACACCGAAGGCTTCGTCGGCAGCGCCCACATGCGGTTCCACCCCAAGTTTGGCACACCCTCACACGTTTCGTGGCCCCATAGGGAGTTCGCCCGCATGCGGTGCCACCTTCATGTCGGTGCACCCCTCACGCGTTTCATGGCCCCACAGGGGGCTGGCTCCACCGAAGGCTCCAGGAACAGCCCTCGCATTCGGTTCCGTTTTCGATTACTGCGAATCCCTCACACGTGTCGTGGCCCCACAAGGAGCTCCACCGAAGGCCCCAGTGGCAGCGCCCGCATGGCGGTCCAGCCACATTTCGGCACACCCTTCACGTGCTTCGTGGCCCCATGAGAAATCCACTGACGGCAATATTCACAACGAGGGTACACACAATCGCATATGGTTGGGCCTTTGGCCAGGCTAATTTCTGACGGCCAGAATGCGAGACGAGCGCCAGAGGAAAACCCGTTCAGCGAGTATGAAAGCACCTACAGCATGGATATTTCGGAAGACCGCTTGCAAGTGTTGCTGCTCTTGGCTCAAGGCCACGAGTGCTGAACAGCACGATCGCACTACAGCGAACATGTCATGGGGGCCGCAGTCTTAGGGTGAATTCTTCTGTGGACCTCGCCACCTTCCCTCGAATAACGGCCACGGTGCGAAGTTCGGAGGGTGGCGCAGCGCACTCTACGGTGAAACCGCTCCGCCTTGCCATCCCAAAGTCTTGCTCCTCCTCCTCCTCCTTCTCCTTCCTTCTCCTCCTCCTCCTCCTCCTTCTCCTCCTTCTCTTCCTCGTCCTCCAACTCGTTGTCGTCCTCGTCCTCGTCCTCGTCGTCCTCGTCGTCCTCGTCGTCGTCCTCCTCCTCCTTTTCCTCCTCCTCCTCCTCCTCCTCCTCCTCCCCGCCTCCCCCGCCCGTGCAGGAGAGGCCCCACACACTGTGCAGATCACGACGCGGCCGTGCGCGAAGGGTTTGTGCCCTCTCGCACAAACCCTCGGGAAAGGCTCGAACAGGGAATTCTCGGGGCTCCAGAGACGGGGGTCAATGCGCTATTTTTTTTGTTTTTATTTTTTTGTTGCCGATCGGCGCGGGCCCTCTCACCCCCCCTTCCCCCTTGCCCATGGAGTAGGTCTTGACTGTTTTTTGGCGCCTGTTTCGAGCAGGTGGAGCCTCCCCCATAACGGACGCCCTGTTGCAAACAGTCGCATTAAGCCGAGTTCCAGAGCCATACCCCCCCCACCCCCCCCTTCTGCCCAATGTCGAAACGCCGAATAAAAAAGACGCTCACCAGAGACGGGGGTCAATGCAAACGGGGGTCAGCCAGAGCGCCCGATCTTGCAGGATCCTGCAGGGCCAGGGTCGCATTTGCCCAGGCTTGGGTGCCAGATCCTGCAGGATCTTGCAGGATCCTTCGCCTTGACCCGGGTTTGGGTGCAGGAGCTGGCAGGATCTTGCAGGATTCTGCAGGGCCTGCTCCTCCGGAGGGTCCTCCGAAGCTGGCAGGACCTTGCAGGATTCTGGCTGACCCGGGTCTGGACTGACCCGGGTCAGAAGACCCCGCAGGGCCTGCTCCTCCGTGGGGGTCGTCGGCGCAGTCGGCCCCAGGGCCCCCTCGGTCACCACCCACCAAACCACCCCAACCCAGCCCGAAGGCCTCGATTTGCCCTCCCTTTCCGGTGGGGGGGGGGTCGGGGAACATAGAACAGAACACACATGGATCGGAGGGCACCAACTATACACCAACACCGATCCTGGCCCAGGATCACCCTGGGCCCAGGATCGGTGTATGTGCCTTCCTGCGCAAGGCAGGAGGGCGTATACACCGATCCTGGGCCCAGGGTGATCCTGGGCCAGGATCGGTGTTGGTGTATAGTTGGTGCCTTCCTAATGGAGCCCATGCCCCCCCCAACCCGAAATTCGGGTCTTCGGGTTGGGTTGGGGTGGTCTGGTACGTAGGTAGTCAATCGGCGGCCGCCAAGGCCACGGACACCGCGGAGCCCCGAGCGCGACCTCCGAGCAGCGTTCTGTGCGCGCGCCGGGGCGGGCTGGCCCCCCGTGGCGGTGGCAGCGCGCCCGTCGTGCCGGAGGTCCAGGTCCGTCGGCCTAAGATTCAGTCGGGCCTCTCCCTCTACAGGAGAAATCTTCAAACAGAGGTAAAATAATAGACTGGGGACGATGTTGGGGTATTTTTGAACATTTTTGGCGTATGGCTGATTTTTTTAAATCAATTTTTCGTCCAATATCCCACTTACTGTAGGGGGACAGGTTTGACCTAAGCCTGACAAGGCCCCAGGACACGAATTTAAGAACCACCCGAGCCCGCTTGAGCTCGGCCGACATACAATCGCGGAACGCACGGGAAGCCGCGTGCTGGTGTGCCCCGAGCTTCACGAAGCAGTCGGCCCACACGTTTCCCACGCACCGCTCGAGGAGGATCCCCTCTCCTGACCCTGGGTCCCCCCCAAGGTTTTCTGGGCGGGGATCCGGGAAACACTGGGACCAGATGGCGCGCGCATTTGAACAATCTTGCGCCAGATTCGAGCATGCTTGCCCCTCGCCGACTCGAGAGACCGATCTTGCGACGACAACGTGTCCGAAACGACATGCTCGATGCGGCGAGGGATGTGCTCTAGCAAGCGAGAAACACCCAACCTCTCGGCTCTCCCGATCGTCTGAATGCCCGATAGAACGCCGTAGATGGCGCGAACAGGGAGGAGGTAGTCGTCGAATGCCGCAACGCGTCACCTCTGACATGTAGCTCGAAGGTGAAGGTACAGACCAGGAGGGAGAGGAGGAGGATGAGGAGGAGGAGGATGATGAGGAGGAGGAGGACGAGGAGGAGGAGGAGGAGGAGGAGGAGGAGCAGGAGGACGAGGAGGGAGGAGGAGGAGGAAGAAGGAGGAAAAAGGAGGAGGAGGAGGAGGAGGAGGAAGAGGAGGAGGGAGGGAGGAGGAGGAGGAGGAGGGAGGAGGAGGAGGAGGAGGAGGAGGAGGAGCAGGGGGAGGAGGAGGAGGAGGAGGAGGAGGGAGATGAGGAGGATCCAATGAATCAGAGGATGTAGAGGGGGCGGAAGAGGCCAGGGCACTCGGGCTGAGAGACAAGAGGTGGACGGTGGAGGAGGAACATGATGCTGCGTGCGAGGATGAATCTTATCTCTCTCTCTCTCTCTCTCTCTCTCTCTCTCTGGTATTTACGCCGTCTTCATTCTGACGCGACCGCGTCCTTGAGGTCTCTCCTTCTGTACCACGGCCCTCCATCGTCCTCCTCTTCCTCCTCGCTTTCGTCCCGGTCCTTCTCCTTCTCTACCTCCTCCTTCCTCTTCCCTCCCTTCCTTCTTGCCCATCCTATCGCTTCCGCTGCGTCTGCTCCTCTTTTTTCGTCATTCCACTCCTCTCCTTCTTCCTTTCTCCCTCTCTCTTCTACTCCTCCCGCTTCCTCCTGTTTCCCTTCTCCTCTTCCCCTTGTCTTCCCCTTATCCTTCTCCTCCGCGCTGTGACATTCCGCGGGCGCGCGAGTGAGAAAGATCGCTCCCAGCAGCAAGCCGTCATGTCGGGCTTCAACCCGTCAAAGAAGACGTCGAACGTGAACAAGACACGCTCTGCTACCTGCCCTTGCGCTTACTTGACTGTCCCGAACGTTTTCGAATGTGTTCGGATGAGCTTCAGCCTCGATCGGCTTCACATCAGCCAGAGCTCGCCGAGATCTTTCCGTGGGCGCCCATCTCGTTCTACGCCGATTTTGTGGTGCCCGAATCATGGTCGAAAGTCGACGTGCCTATCTTTACGTCCGCCTTCTCGCCCCAGTAGGCTTGCTTAGATGGTCCCCCGCTCCAGGTGCCCCAGGCAAGTGCCCCTCGCGAGCCCCAGCCTTGCTGCCAGGAAGCAAGCCGGGAAGCTGTCACCAAGCGTGCCCGCCCGCTTCAGGTGCACATCCCGTGGACTGCGAGGGACCTCACTTTGAGCGTGCCCGCTCCCCTGCGGCGCACATCGCGCTGCCAGGTTTGTTCCGCACTAGACTGGCCTAAACATTGATTGTCTGCTTAGTGGCTCCCTCACTACAGGTGCCCTTGAGGAGGAGGAGGAGGATGAGGAGGAGCAGGAGGAGGAGGGAGGAGGAGGAGGAGGAGGAGGAGGCGGAGGAGGCGGAGGAGGCGGAGGAGGCGGAGGAGGCGGAGGAGGCGGAGGAGGCGGAGGAGGAGGGGAGGAGGAAGAGGGAGGAGGAGGAGGAGGAGGAGGGAGGAGGAGGAGGAGGAAGGAGGAAGAAAAATAATAAGGAGGGAGGAGGAGGAGGAGGAAAAGGAGAGGAAGAGGAGGAGGAGGAGGAGAAGAAGAAGAGGAGGGGGAGGAGGGAGGAGGAGGAGGAGGAGGAGGAGGAGGAGGAGGAGGAGGAGGAGGGAGGAGGAGGAGGAGGAGGAGGAGGAGGAGGAGGAGGAGGAGGGAGGAGGAGGATGAGGAGGGGAGGAGGAGGAGGGAGGAAGGAGGAAGGAGGAAGGAGGAAGGAGGAAGGAGGAAGGAGGAAGGAGGAGGAGGAAGGAAGGAGGAAGGAGGAAGGAGGAAGGAAGGAGAAGGAGGAAGGGAAGGAGGAAGGAGGAGGAAGAGGAAGGGAAGGGAGGAGGGAGGAGGGAGGAGGGAGGAGGGAGGGGGAGGAGGGAGGAGGGAGGAGGAGGAGGGAGGAGGAGGAGGAGGAGGAGGAGGAGGAGGAGGAGAGGCCGGGGGATTGTGGAGTCCCTGTGGGTTTCAGACGATTGTTTAAGATCTTTCACGTTGTTCCTCATCATTATTCTGATATTTCCTCTCTCGCTTTCTCTCTCTCTCAATCTCTCCCACTCCCATTCCCATTCCCATTCCCAATACCATTACCATTACCATTCCCATCCCCATTCCCATTCCCATTCACATTACCATTACCATTACCTCTACCTTTATCTTTACCTTTACCTTTACCATTACCATTACCATTACCACTACCATGGCCATTACAATAGCCATTGTCATTGCCATTGCCATTCCCATTGCCATTGCCATTGCCATTACCAGTGCCGTTGCCATTGCCATTATATTGCCATTGCCAGTCGCCACCCCGTTACCATTACCGTTACCATTACCATTACCATTCCCATTTCCATTAGGCACTACCATTAGCATTGCCATTACCATTAGCATTACCAACACCATTGCCATTTTACCATTACCATTACCATTACCGCTGCCATCACCATTACAATCCCCATTCCCATCACCATTGCCATTACCGTTACCGTTACCAGTACCATTTCCATTACCGTTACCATTACCATTGCCATTATCATTACCACTACCACTACCATTTCCATTCCCGTTCCCGTTCCAATTACCACTACGATTCCCATTCCCATCCCCATCCCCATTACCATTACCATTACCATTACCATTACCATGACCATGACCATGACCATGACCATTACCATTACCATTGCCATGGCCATTGCTATTGCCATTGCCATTGCTGTTGCCATTCCCATTGCCATTGCCATTACCATTACCATTGCCATCGCCGTTGCCATTGCCATTGCCAGTCGCTACCCCGTTACCATTGCCATAACCATTACCATTACCGTTACCGTCACCATTACCATTCCCAGTGCCATTACCATTACCTCTGTCATTGCCATTACCATTACCATTGCCATTGCCATTGCCATTCACCACTACCATTACCATTGCCATTCGCCACTACCATTACCATTACCATTGCCATTGCCATTGCCATTCGCCACTACCATTACCATTGCCAGTACCATTACCATTCCGAATCACATTCCCGTTCCCAAAACCATTACCATTACCATTACCATTACCATTACCATTACCATTACCATTACCATTACCATTACCATTACCATTACCATTACCATTACAACTGGCATTGCCATTACCATTACCATTACCTCTACCTTTACCTGTACCCTAACCCTTACCATTCCCATTTCCGTTACCACTACCACTGCCATTCCCATTCTCGTTTCCATTCACATTCCCATTCCCATTCACATTCCCATTCCCGTTCCCATTCCCATTCACATTACCATTACCATTGCCATTGCCATTGCCATGGCCATTACCATTGCCATTGCCATTGCCATTGCCATTGCCATTGCCATTGCCATTGCCATTACCGTTGCCATTGTCATTGCCATTGCCATTGTCAATCGCTACCCCGTTACCACTATCATTTCCGTTACCAGTACCATTACCAGTACCTCTGTCATTACCATTACCATTCGCATTGCCATTGCCATTGCCATTAGCCACTGCCATTACCATTGCCAGTACCATTTCCATTGCCATTGTCATTCCCATGACCATTACCATTATCATTTCCATTACCATTACCATTACCTTTACCTCTACCTTTACCTGTACCCTTACCCTTAGCATTCCCATTTCCGTTACCATTACCACTACCATTTCCATTCCCGTTCTTGTTCCCATTCCCATTCACATTCCCATTCCCGTTCCCATTCCCACTACCATTGCCATTACCATTACATTTACCATTGCCGTTGCCATTGCCATGGCCATTATCATTGTCATTGCCATTGCCATTGTCAATCCCATTGTCATTGTCATTACCATTATTGTTGCCATTGTCATTGTCATTGCCATTGCCAATCGCTACCCCGTTACCATTACCATTACCGTTACCATTACCATTACCAGTACCATTACCATTACCTCTATCACTGCCATTACCATTACCAGTGCCATGGCCATTGCCATTGCCATTGCCATTCGCCACTACCACTACCATTGCCAGTACCATTTCCATTCCCATTCCCATTCCCATTTCCGTTACCACTACCACTGCCATTACCATTACCATTACCATTACCATTACCATTACCATTACCATTACCATTACCGCTGCCATTACCATTAGAATGCCCATTCTCATTCCCATTCCCATTCCCAATACCATTACCATTTCCATTCTCATTACCATTACCATTACCAGTGCCATTACCATTACCACTACCACTATCATTTCCATTCCCGTTCCCGTGCCCATTCCCACTCCCATTCCCATTACCATTACCATTACCATTGCCATTGCCATTGCCATTACCATTACCTTTACCTCTACCTTTACCTTTACCCTTACCATTGCCATGGCCATTACCATTGCCATTGCCATTGCCCTTGTCATTGCCATTCCCATTGCCATTGCCATTGCCATTACCATTACCATTACCATTGCCATTACCGTTGCCATTGCCATTGTCATTGCCTCGCTACCCTGTTACCACTATCATTACCGTAACCATTACCAGTACCATTACCATTACCACTGTCATTACCATTACCATTACCATTACCATTGCCATTGCCATTGCCATTGCCATTCGAGGATTTCAGTAGGAATCATTCAGTGGAAGGTTTCAGTAGGAATCCACATGTGGAGGATTTCAGTAGGAATCATCCAGTGGAGGGTTTCGATAGGAACCCTTCTGTCGAGGATTTCACTGTGAATCCTTCTTATGGGGGCGTTCAATAGGAATCCTTCTAGGGGGAGGGCAGATGTGGCCCCGTCGCATCCTTTTTTTTTTCTTCCTGGCGTCCCCCCCCCCAGAAAAAAAAATAGTTTTTTTTCTTTTCTGGGGGGGGGACGCTAGGAGAAAGAAAAGGGCAGAGAGGTAGGAGGAGGGGGAGAGGGAGCAGGAGGAGGAGGAGGAGGAGGAGGAGGCGGAGGAGGAGGAGGAGGAGGAGGAGGAGACGACACAGAGCAGAGTTTGCACAGAAACAGTCGCGAACTCAGCGCGAAAGCCTCGCGCGCGCGCTTTGGAACCACAGGGACTCCACAATCCCCCGTTCTCGAGGAGGAGGAGGAGGACGATGATGATGAGGAGGAGGAGGAGGAGGAGGAGGAGGAGGGAGGAGGAGGAGGAGGGAGGAGGGGAGGGAGAGGGAGGGAGGGAGGGAGGGAGGGAGGAGGGAGGGGGAGGGAGGGAGGGAGGGAGGGGAGGGAGGGGAGGGAGGGGGAGGGGAGGGAGGGAGGGAGGAGGGAGGGAGGAGGAGAAGGAGGAGGACGAGGAGGAGGAGGAGGAGGAGGAGGAGAGGAGGAGGAGGAGGAGGAGGAGGAGGAGGAGAGGAGGAGGAGGAGGAGGAGGAGGAGGAGGAGGAGGAGGAGGAGGAGGAGGAGGAGGAGGGGGAGGAGGAGGAGGAGAGGAGGAGGAGGAGGGAGGAGGAGGAGGAGGAGGAGGAGCAGGAGGAGGAGGAGGAGGAGGAGGAGGAGGAGGAGGGATGAGGGCTGGTGTCCGTCGCGAGTCTCTCTCCGTGAGCCTCGCGTGCCCCTGCCGTGCCTTGCCCGCTTGCTTTCACTGGTGCGCGTCGCGCTGCCAGCGCTGTGGCCAGGAGGCGTGCCCGCTCGCTCCTGGGGCACATCGCGTGGCCAGCGGTGCTGCCGGGAAGCTCGCTGCGATCGTGCAGGGGGCCACATGCGAACCCTACCCCTACCCCCCACGATTTCGGAGGGGGGGGGAGGGGCAGGGTTCGCATGTGGTCCCCTAATCGTGGCCGCTCGCTTGCATCGCACATCGCGCTGCCGGCGTCGTTGCCG